GAAAACTAGTGGCTCTGTAATGTTGTTTTACTGTTCCGCTTTTATGAGTTCACAGACTGTGTAGCATTTTGTCATCTTTAAACGGCTGTACCATACCAATTACCTTCTCACAATCTCCTACAGATGATTAAATGGTAAATACTGTAAGAGCTTGTGTGGCAATTATAGGCTTTAAAGCGTCATGTGTGGCAAACAGTCCTTTTAAACTTTACTTTTTTTTTTTAAATATCTGTCAAATAAAACCAAAACAACACACACCAATAACAGGACAAGTCATTCCAAATAAGTGCCATGTTGTATATGACTTGTAGTAGGACAACCCAGCTGTCACTAACAACACCAATGATGGCTGCTCTTGATTGAACTGCCCTAGTAAGCTATTGTGAATGTAATTCTTCCACTTTAATCTCCCACAATGAGTCGATCAGTTTAAAACAAGCTCAGAACCAAACATTTTTAAAAATACTTTATTTAAAAGGAAAGTTGAGCATTAATATCTCATCTTCCCCACCACCAATGTTTTTCTTTTATGTGCCATGAAATAAAATCTGGCCTGGAAGCTGGTCTCCACGTACAAGGCAGATCTTAAGTATCACAACAAAAACTAATTAATACAGGTCTGTTAAGCAAAACTTTTTTTTTTCGTGGACAGCATGCAGGGAACTTTGTAATTCAGACATTGCAGGCAGTCATATGAACAGTATGTTTAACACATAACATGCACACGTTTTAGCAGTATACATTTGTGGCGTCAGCTATAGCTGTAAAGGCAGTTTATACAGCACAGTTACTCTCTCGCTGTCTCTCTTACATTCCCCACACACGCTTAATACTTTTTAAAGTTGCACATTTACACACACACACACAACAAGAAGATCCGATTTGGTCCCAAACAACCAGTTGATCAGAGGGCTGCCATCACTGGTACACAGGCAGTTGTTCATAAGAACCAGGAAGTATTCAGTACCGAACTTGAAAAATATTATGGGTCAGTTTCAGTGACGAATGTAATGGTTTCAAAATCTGAGTTTCACGCTTCAATTTTCTTTGGGCTTTTAAAGTTCACCTTGTCACACCCACCTCTGCACACACACATCTGTTACAACACAAAAGTAAAAGATAAAAACGGAACATTTTTGCTGTCACAATTACAGCACGAGCGGAGTCAGATGTCTAGAATACAATCTCCAATACAAAAGACCGCCATGTTTCTTTCAAACGACCACAAATTGCATGGATTTTTTCTCTGAATTTTGATTTGTTTTGCTTCTTTTCTTTGTCAACTTTTAAGTGGAGACATTTTTGCTGAACAATTTAATCCCATTACACAGAGCTGGCTTTATCCATGACATATAAAAATCGAAGAGTAATTCCCTCAGTTTTAAAACCGCAGGCAATTTTTATACAAACACACTCGCACAGAAATTGACACCATCTGGGGTAAACATAAAAAACACATCCATTCATTTATAGTATATTACATATTTATAATGAGGGGGTAACTATTTTTAACCATACAAGGAAAATATCATTAAAAAGTTTAACAATTGCACATAATGGTTGGCTAAAATATTTCAGTGACACATTAAAAATGGCACTGTTATGAAAAATAGATCAGTTTTGAAAGTTTGAACAAAATTGTACATTTGCTTTTCTTTATCCTTTACAAAGTGAGGACATCATTTTTTTCTGGGTATAAAAAAGGTGTAAGAAAAGCTGCTGAGAACATAAAAAAAACCAGATTTGTGTACAAATTGATGTGTTTTAAAACAGGCCCTTGCTTTTCTTCAGATTCTTTTGCTTCCAGTTTGGCAGGGCGTTGAACTCAACACGACTCATCTCGAGAAGTGTCTGCAAACATTAAAGGCAACAAATGTTACATATGGCTGTTTTTTTCAGTTAAAAGTTGTTTATGAGTTGTCCTTGACATGTAAAGGTTTATCTGCTTACACCCTTCATTCATCATTTTAATGACCTAACATTACATACAACATTGAGTCTTCTGATCCTATTTGAGAGTAGCAAAGTGCCCTACCTTGAAGTCCTGGTCAGACAGGTAATCCTCCAGGCGTAGGGGGTCTACTCCCTCTGGAAGGGGTTTACTGGTCAGCTCCTCGATGGAGTACTGCTGCTTACTGAGCTTGGACAGCTCCTCCTTCACTAACATCACCTTGCTCTTGGAGTTCTGCGTAAATGTATAAGGTAGAGTAGGTAAACAAATGCAAAACTGAAATACTGTAGTTTAGTTTAAGCTGGAATTATACATCTCACATGAGAGATATAATTCAATAATTCTTGTAGGAAATTATATTGCACTGAGAGAGTTTATATTCTACACTCTTATTTTTAACAACTCCTTGCTACCTTTACAGTAATTGTGATTCTGCATGCCATACTGTAGGTCTATTTAAAAATAGACCTACAGTATCTGCGGAATGACACTTTATCTGAACAGATCTGGTTGAGTGAGATGATTTGGATTCTTTCTGGAGTTAGCTACTCTTATCTAAGCTGTGACAGCTCCCCTAACACACAACACAGACTTGTATAGTAATCCCACCTTTGAAGCGATACTGGTGTCCTTCTCCCAGTATGGAAAGATGTTGGTAAAGGTGAGAGGTTCACAGCCTGCTAGGACCAGATAGGCCAGAGGGGGGCGCCGAGGGTTCTTCACTGTAAATCATCACACAAGCAAATGTTGGGATGACAAGTCAACAAAAGCAATAGCAGTATTTAGGACGTAAGTATCTGGCTGATCAATAGCTGAAAAACACAAAAAACTTGTTTATTAATTATCAGTTAGGGTTCAATAAATTACTAGTAGTAGATAGTAAATGAGAGTCCTTATCAATAACTGGACATAATTAATTACAAGATCAGAGATAATTGAGCTACAGTGACCTCTGACCTTTGCAGTACTGCAGCACCGTCTCCATGGCACATTTCCTCTCGTTGTTCCAGCGTATCTTTGCAGAGCCGGTGCACTGCGTGTCTTCAGGCTGCCAGCCCTGCCACAGGTACACCTCCATCCGGTTATCCAGCAGGAACAGGGCTGGAGAAGCAATAGCGTGAGAGTTAGATAAGACTCAGAGCATTTGAATGTAGAAAGGACAAAAGGCTAGAAGGCTAGACCGTTGCACATTAAGTCCCAACAATAAAACGTATCCATCAACAGCCTGTGAACGAGTCCTTTAAAGCACCTTTTGTTTAGTTTTCATCAGTGCTAGGTTCAGGGAGCAACGTGTGATTGTTTTTGTGTTGTGCTTCTTTGTGTGCCCTAAATGAGAAATCTGCCAAGAACTTAATTAATTAAAAATATCTCTCATTCAGATCAAAGATGATTCTAAAAAAAACACAACAAACTGATTTCTAAAATGATTTTGATGAATGACTCACAAGGGGGAAAGCTTCAAAATATGGGAGAGTGGGACTTACAGTCACTGACATCTAACCTAAATGTTTTTCAGTATATAAATAAATTTTATGGCTGCATTTCTATTCCAGTATCATCTCCAGCTGGCTATTTAATCTTATTCTAAGATCAGAAGCAGTTTTACATTGATCTATACTCCAGAAAGAAACAGGTAATATTTATTTTCATAGAAAAGACAAATAGTAAACATAATTCACTGAAATGTATCAGTGCTACAGATGTGTGTGTGTGTGTGGTGTGTGTGTGTGGTGCCGTGTGGTGGTGTGTGTGTGTGTGTGTGTGTGTTGTGTGTGTGTCCGGTTACCCTTATGGGCTGTTGTTGCAGAGTAGAGGTTCTTCCTGCAGAAGCGATGGCCACTTACTTCCCTCCGTCACCCTGGCTGCATACGTGCTCCTCCCTCCGTCGAACATCCCGAGCGGCACCAGCCTGGAACAGCCCGGGAGGGGTGGTAGTTGTACTCCGGCTGGATCTGGCGAGTGCCACACCACACACCACACACACACACAACAACACACCACCACACAACATATGCTGATCGATTAGATGATCTTTTCCTGTCTCTTTCTCCTGACTATAATTGGGGCGATTGCGTTGTGAATGTGCGAGGAACACACCGTTGCAGCGATCAGTCGTACGCCTTTTTTCCTGCAGGGCCCCAGGCCTTCAGTGAACTACTGCGGGTTCACGAATGCGCCTTCCTCCACTCCTCCACTTTGACGCTGCTGCCGCTGCTCAGGCCTAAACTCTGGAGGACACCTGGAGACACCACAAATTTGTTTATGTGCACATGGGTCCATCCATTACACATTCAACATCCATCTTCTTATGTAGTTTACCTCTGCTGAGTTACTTTTCGCAGGTCTTGGCCATCCTGCTGCGGCACTTGGCGTGTGCGGTTCGGACAGCCGGTGGCCCATGTAGTAGGCGCCTTGCGAGCGGTGAGACACGCGCACCAGCTTGACGCGAGATCGCGCATGGGCTGGCATGCTGGGCAATCGTACCTCACCAGTGATGCTTCCACCTCCGCTGCCCGCCAGGGGACCGCAGAACATCTCCAGCCACCTGCAGCGGAAGCAGACGTGGTTTAGAAGTGTTGGACATGTAAAAATTAAAAGGGCAGTAGCGATTCTGGAGACTTTGCGGCGTGGCGTGTGTCCCAGCATCTCACTCAAATCCTGAGCGGGGATTAGCAACAACTTGTCCATATAGAGTCTTGCATGTACCTGGTATTCGGCATTTCTCTACTCCCTTGTGGATGATCAACCTCCCTGGAAGAGCTGGAGAAGCATGGAGGCTCTTTTCCTCCTCGCTCTACAACACCTGACATT